ACCATAGTGACTTGATGCTTTTTATACCACATGTTCATTATCTTGACCTCTTTATTCTCTTTGTTGTTAATAGTTTCATTTGGGGGCACATCAAAAATTCCAGGCTTTTATCTGCATTCATATTCCCAAGTTTATTTATAAATTGCTAAAAGGTAAACAACTTTTCAAAAAGTCAGCCAAAAGTTGTCGACAGATACATTTTTAACACCAAAGTTATATATTCTTTCATATGCATGATTCAGTCATAACCGACTTGTCTCATCTTTCAAATTACTATGGTTTAGATTTCAAAGAATCTGGCAGTTTCTTCTACCTCCCATTGCATAGCCTGGTATATGACAGTTTATCGTCTGTATACAAATAACTTTTCACTTTATTACTGCATCAGATGAAATCTTTTTAAAAAAATATTTAAGGGGCAATAAGGGTTCAATTTCAGTCAAATTCAGATGTTTGACTCTGTTTATCCCCTCAATGTATAGAGAACAAAAAGCATGTTAATGTTTGATATTTTACTTTGTTGTAGAACAAACATAATAATTGCTATTTCTATCTTGACTTCTTCAAAAATAATCATTAATAGTAATATAATTGTTATAATACTGAACTATTATCTAACTTCATGGAATCTTTATTTTTTATTCGCGTCTAATATTACAGTCCTCTTCTATATTGTAAGCTCCATAAAGGGAGAGGTAGGTACATCTCAGACATTTCTGTGACTCTCTCAGCATCTAGCACAATGCCTCCTTGTGCAGGAACTGCATTCAAATGAATCAAGAGATAAATATGCATTCAACCAGCTTCCATCTCCTATTAGTCCAAGCATTATATCAAGTAAATTGAATAGATGATAGCCACCCATGTAATACACAAAAAATTAAACATACATGATAGGATTCACTGTTCTTATCGTAAGAGAAATTTACAGTTGGAAGGAATTTGAAAATTTTGGTCTATCTCCTTGCTCAGTGAAGAATACCATTTGTGATATCATCTCCTTTCATTCTCTGCCTCAAAAGCTACTCAAATGTGGAGTCAACTCTAATTCAACAATGTTAGTAAAGCTCACCCTGACAAAATAACAGCAACAAAAACAAGATGTTTTTCAAGTACATACTGTCAACTACAAATAGGCACTTGCATCTACCTCTACAAGGAGTAAATTATGTGCTTCTGCAACTGCTGACTTTCAACACCCCCTGAAAGGAGTTCAGGGTGGAGAGCTGAGGCACTCTGTGCTCTGGGGAAAACTGGCAGAACAGGTCTTCAGATAGATATTTTATGAACCAATTCTTTTATTTTATGAACCAATTCTTGTATCTCCTCATATCTAGAAAAGCACTAAAATCCTTCATGGTAACATCTGCTCCCCCAGACTAGCAGAAGCCTTCTGCAAAAAAAATATGAGTTTGACTGCATATATTCGCCTTTCATGAAAACCACATATATACTGACCTTTCCCCTACCTCTTTGGAGCAGTTCCTCAGAGCTATCTGAAATGCTCTGATAGTTTTGAGAAATGTCCTCATTTTGCCCCCAAATAAAACTTAACTCATAATTCTCAATTTTGTGTGTGTGTGTGCGTTTTTTAAGTCAGCAGTACCATTTAAAAAATTTCACAAATTTTATCCCATTTAATGTCCACCACAAGATGCTTTTGAACTGTGGTGTTGGAGAAGATTGTTGAGAGTCCCTTGGACTGCAAGATCAAACCAGTCAATCCTAAAGGAAATCAACCCTGAATATTCATTGGAAGGACTCATGCTAAAGCTGAAACTCCAATACTTTGGCCACCTGATGTGAAGAGCCAACTCTTTGGAAAAGACCCTGATGCTGGAAAAGATTGAAGGCAGGAGGAGAAGGGAACAACAGAGGATGAGATGGTTGGATGGCGTCACCAATTCAATGGACAGGAGTTTGAGCAAACTCTGGGAGTCGGTGATGGACAGGGAAGCCTGGTGTGCTGCAGTCCATGGGGTCTCAAAGAGTCGGACACGACTGAGCAACTGAGCTGGTTGACAAGCTTTCAAGATAGATATTATTATCTATTTTATATTAAAGATGAGGAAACTGGGTCACAGTCAGATTAAATAGCTTATTTCTTGTCATATAGATTGTAAGTGGAGGAGCTGGGATTCACACCCACGTCTATAAGATTCCAGAGCCCTAGCAGCCTTTAAATCAAGGAGCAACATTTCCTGCTCTGCTCATTGGGCAATGAAAAACCTTCACAGTGCTGTCACTTGAACTATTGTCTTAAACCCTTACTTGCATATGTTACTGTTACTAGTTTTTAGAAATGCTTATATCTTATTTTCTGGAAGTTTACCTTTCTGTGTCTCCAAATGTGTAAAAAAAATATGTAAAAATACTTTACAAAAAGTAAAGGCTTTGTAAATATTTGGCATATTCTTTCAAAACACCATGGATACTCCTTTCAAATCAGTTTATTTCTGTGTGAGAAAATTGCTCTTTCTGTTTAAAACTCCTTAGATTCCTAAAACAAAATTATAGAATCCTACTACACAAAGATTATGTAATCTATTGCCTTCATTTTATGGTTGAGAAACCTAAAGATAATTGACTTGCCCAAGGTCACAAAGCTATTAACTTGCAGATCCATGGCCATGAACTCTGGCTCCTAGAGTCACTGTCTGTTAATATTATTTCAGATATTCAAAAATAGTTTTGAGTCCCATCTTGGTCATCTTAGACCATGAGGTTTGAATTTTTCAGCATCTTAGACATTCTCCTAGTTTTAGCCCAGTTTTGCAATAGTCAAATTAACAAAGACTTTCTAAGGTACTGCAGGGAAACAGAAGCATTCATTTATTATTGATAGCATTTTCATTGAGTATAATCTTTATGTAAAATAATCTGGCATTCTTAGTAATCAAAAATTGATCTGCCTTATGGTTTGGTTGTCCCACTTTGTAGTAATAAAGCTACATCTTAAGCAAATAATTGAAAGAAAAAGAACAATTTATACAAAGATGGATTTAGAATAATTTCTACCTAGAAATGGCCGAACATTTGGAGAATTTTTTTTTAAGAATAATATATACTTATGGAAATGCTATGTAGGCCAGATAGCAATAAGGAAAATTATGTAATAAATGAAAAAAGTAAAAAAGAAGATGGCATAATTAATTGCAATGTATAAAGATGTGAAGAAATTAGAATTGTAAATTGTGGATCCTTTAAGGTAAAAGGGTTCTTTGTCAAATTTTGCTATTTCTCCTTTTCTGGCATTGTTGATTAAACCCACAGTAAGAACTGTGGTGCCCAGAAGTGAATGTAGCTAGAGTATAGGGTTGTTGGAAGGATAGAGAGGAGGTGTGTCAAGAACAGATCTGGGCCAGGCTGCATGTCTCAGTCCATTCTGAATTCTGTAACAAAATGCCACAGACTGCATGGCTCACAAACAACAAAAATTCTTGAGAACAAGGATTGTGTTTAATTATCTTTGAATCCCCAGCACCTACCACAATGCCTGACACATAGTAGATAAGCAAATGTTTGTTGAGAATCAATGCCCACATCCAATACATTGAAAGTCAAGGGAAGATAGAAAGCAGACACTAGAATGAACTAGAATTATCAAAGAAAACTTTGTTGAGGAGGGAAATATACAAAGGGTAGATCTTCACATAATCAGAGAAGAGGATGACAGTTACTGAAGGTAAAAGATAAAAAAGCATAACATGTAGTGTGTGATGAGGTGGGGAAAATTAAATGTGTTTTGTTTGATAGGAAGGAGAAGCAATGAATGTGTGACATAATTAAATACTTTGCTCATTAAAATTCTTCTCTTCAGTACTGTGTCCAGAGATTGTTAATAAAGGCAACAATCCTAAACTTAGTCCTTTTGGAAACCTCAAAGTGTACCAAAACCATATAAAAATGTTTCATTTAGACAAATTATATATTATAAACAATTTTCCAGGTGACTAGTAGTAAAGTATTCCCCTGCTAAGCAGGAGACAAGGGTTCTATCCTGGGGTCGGGGAAATCCCCTGGAGAAGGAAATGGCAACCCACTCCAGTATTCTTGCGTGGGATATCCCATGGACAGAGGAGTCTGGCAGACTACAGTCCACGAGGTCACAGAAGAGTAGGACACGACTTAACAACTAAACAACAAAGAATATTATAAACAATATAGGGGGAAAACATGAGCTTTATAGGAGGGCAAATCTACATTTAAATTTTAGTTTTGCCTCTTAAGTATGTTATTAGGGCAGATCACTTAGCTCTTTGAGCTTCAGTTTTCTTTCTGTAAAATGGGACTATAATGCCTATCTCCCACTGGGCTGATGTGGGGCTTGAATACAGTAATTCTTATAAGATATTCAGTGCAGTGTTTGGTATATAGTAGATGCTTAGTATATGTGAGCACTACTTTTATTTTTAATAATGTGAATTGATGCATTGATGTGTGTGTGATAAGTCATGGTGGTTATTTGGGTTGCACATGTTTGGGGATAAGCACACTTGAGTCTCCTTGATCTGAGGTAATTGGAAATGGAAACAACTCAGAAAAAGATAATGTATAATATGGTGCCCCATGGCTGTCTGCCTCTTTAAAATGAAGTAATGACAACACTTTTGAGTCTGTTGGCAATAGTATGAGGTGAATGCTCAAATAGGCAGCTAATAATTTTCTTTACTAACTACCTGCTGTATAAACTGTCATGCAAATACTGCCTTATGATTTATGTAAGCATTGAAAAATCTCATGACTTTATTCTTATGCTTGGATTTTTTCTATGGTAGAATACCTAACTGAATTAGTTTCAAGTGTGTTTGTCTGTAAACCAGCCAAATATTTCCTTTTAAATACTTGAGCTCTATGTTGAATATATAGTTATGGTTCTTAGCACATTACTTTGTTTCAGTAATTAGATTTCATCCTATAATCCTATAATGAGGTTTTAGTTCCACATATACTAGGCTGTCTCCAATCCATATTAAGTGAAGATTTTTCATCTTATACAGGTTCTTCCAGGGGACCCAGCCCCCTAACCATGGGAGCCCAGGACACCCTCCCTGTTGCAGCAGCATTTACAGAAACGGTCAATGCCTACTTCAAAGGAGCAGATCCGAGCAAGTAAGCCTGGGGCTTAGTCCACTATATTCTCCAAACTCTATGCTATTCCGCGGGGAACACTCCACATATAATTATTTCATTCCACATCCTAAGACCAAAAACAATCTAGTCAGCAATAACAGGTGGCATACTTAGAATTAACTTAATTATGAATATTAATTCATAGCTTTCTTTAAAATATATATATGTATATATATATATATATATACCCTCCTCATGCTGGGGCCCTTGGAGAAGTCAGTGCCCACAGGACTCCCCCAAGGCCCACAACTAGAGGCAAGAGGATATATATATTCCAAAAGGTCCAAAACTCTAATCTTACTACCCAGAAATCTCTGATTCAGTCTTTTTTGTAAGTTACAGGAAACCCTAACTCAACTCTGTCAACAATGAGAACATGTATTATCTCACAAAAGGAAATGTCTAGATCATGTCTTTATTGTCTTAGTCTTTCCTGGCTGAGAGTACTCACCTATAAACCGAAACAATGGTGCATTTGAATGAGAACCTGGAATAAAACTACCTTTCCATAAATACAGATTAGTAAGAGAATATATTAATTTGTAACCCTTGTTAAGTAAGGCAAAACTAGCCAAAAAATTGTAACTACAGCAAAGTAAAAATTTTAGAAAAAATGTACCATTCCCTATTTACATGAGCCTCATTTCACTTTTATCAGTACATCTTGACAATGGACTTCACCGCATGTGATGTAATTACTTTGCCTCTCTGTAAGGAGTCCCCTGGATGGGGTTCAGGAAGTCTATGGATCCCTTGAAATTATATTTCATATCTAATGTGTATGTCTGCATGCACATTTGTCCATAGAGGGTCTACGGCATTCATTAATTTTACAAAGAGGTCAGATTAAAAAGAAAGGTCAAGTGATTGTTAGTCTACATTGAAAACTAAACACTTAAGTCAAACTGGTTTTGAAGTGTGTGACTAATGCAATTCCAGGTCTGACTTTGAAAGATAAACAAAGGACTAACCTGGGAGAGGAAAGAATTGCTTTTTGTTTTTTACTTAAGCAGGGACTAGGGCTTAGAAAACCTTGGTATCCATGGAATAAAAGATCAGAAAAAAAATTAAATGTGCATATACTGTAGAGCACTGTACTGTTTTATAAAAATGTTATAAACAGTGATATTAAGGATAGCTGGGACTTGGATCTCTATATATTTTAAGTGAGAATCTATATGACTAATTGTTAATCCTCTTTACACTTCTGAAACTGTAGTGTTTTTTAGTCTAAATATAACAGTATTATGCTGAAAAATTAATATAATGAGTAACTCTACTCCTATCTAGCACTGGGATCTATCAACTTCTCTAAATATCCTTTGAAACAACACTTAGGTTTTATCTTGGGCCCAGAGTTTTGCACAGAAGTACACACTGTGGACTCTGGAGTCTTAGTTCACTTGGGTTCTATAACAGACTCAGTTCAGTTCAGTTCAGTTGCTCAGTCGTGTCCAACTCTTTGCGACCCCATGAATCGCAGCATACCAGGCCTCCCTGTCCATTACAAACTCCCGGAGTTTACTCAAACTCATGCCTATTGAGTCGGTGATGCCATCCAGCCATCTCATCCTCTGTCGTCCCCTTCTCCTCTTGCCCCCAATCCCTCCAAGCATCCCTTGACTCACTGCTCTTTTCCAATGAGTCAACTCTTCGCATGAGGTGGCCAAAGTATTGGAGTTTCAGCTTCAGCATCAGTGCTTCCAATGAACATCCAAGACTGATCTCCTTCAGGATGGACTGGTTGGATCTCCTTGCAGTCCAAGGGACTCTCAAGAGTCTTCTCCAACACCACAGTTCAAAAGCATCAATTTTTCGGTGCTCAGCTTTCTTCACAGTCCAACTCTCACATCCATACATGACCACTGGAAAAACCATAGCCTTGAC